AAAAAAAAAAGAAGAAGAAGTTTTATTTATTTATTTTTTTGAGACAGAGGCTCACTCTGTCATGCCAGGTAGAGTGCCCTGGCATCATAGCTCACAGGAACCTCAAACTCCTGGGCTCAAGCAATCCTCTTGCCTCAGCCTCTCTAGTTGCTGGGACTACAGGTGCCTGCCACAACGCCTGGCTAATTTATCTATTTTTAGTAGAGATAGGGTCTTACTTCTGCTCAGGCTGGTCTTGAACTTCTGAGCTCAAGGGATCTACCTGCCTCAGCCTCTCAGACTGCTAGGATGACAGGCATGAGCCACCGCACCTGACCAATGTGGAGATTTTAAACTTGATTTTGAAATCATTTCCAGACTTACAGAAAGGATTTCCATAGATCCTTGTCCCAGATTCCTCAGCTGTCAACTGTTAACTTTTTATATTTGCTCCGTTCCTCTTTCTGACTATGCACATGTATACACACACACACACACACACATCCTCTCATACCATTTGAGAGCAGGCTGTAGATGTGACTAATTCCCCCTTTTCTCTAATTACTTCAGTGTATATTTTCTAGAAAGCAAACAACTATCTCAGTAAAATAATCACAATCAGGACATCAACAGTGTTACAGACACAACTGTCTGCAAACACAAGCACAAATCATCTGCAAACCTTATCTGACATGCAATACCAATTGCCCTAATATGGGCTTTTACAGCAAAGGAGAAAAGTGTTTCATGCTGGTACAAGGGATCCAATGCAGGACTGAGAGCCTCACACTGGCAAACCTCTTCAGTCTCTCCCAATCTGGAATAGCCCCTCTGTCTTCCTTTGTCTTTTATGTTCTTGGCATTTTTGAGGAATGGTCTGAATGTGGGTTTGTCTCCTTATTCAACATTTTTGGCAGCATTTTAGTCAAATTGAACTCCTGTCACAAAATACCATACATTGGGCTGCTTAAACAATAGACATTTATTGTCTGACAGTTCTGGAGGCTGGAAGTCCAAGATTGAAGTGTCAGCAGGTGTGTCTTCTCCTGAGGCCTCTCTCCTTGGCTTGCAGAAGGCTGTCTTCTTGCTGAATCCTCAGAATAGTCTTTCCTCTCTGATCCTACAGCCTTGGTATTTCTTTGTGTGCCCAAACTTCCTCTTCTTATAAGGAAACCAGTCAGATTGGATTAGGAGCCACCCTAATGGCCTTATTTTAACTTGATCTCCTTTTTAAAGGCCCTATCTTCAAATAGGGTCACATTCTGAGGGACTGGGGGCTATGGCTTCAACATATGAATTTGGGGGGGCATGATTAAGCCCATTTCAGATAGGAATATTCCAGAAGTGATGATGTGTTATTCCCAGTATCAGGAGGCAGGTCCTCCTGGTTTGCCCTATTACTGCTGATGTGACTTTGACCGCTTGGTTAAGGTGGTATCTTCATGTTTCTCCACTGTGAAGTTTTGTTTCTTTGTGTTTTTTTGTGAGATACTTTGAAACTATATAATTATCTGGCTCCTCATCAAACCTTCACACACTAGTGTGGTGGTTGCCAGGCAGGTGGTGCTTCCTGAACTTCATCGTTTCTTCTGCATTTACGCATGTTCTATGGTGAGCATGAGCTGGCAACATCGGGAGGCCTAGATTTTGTCTAGGGTTCATTGCTCATGGGCAGAAGGCCCTGGGTAGTCACATCCCTGCCCCGCCCCCACCCAATATCTAGAAAATAGGGATAAGAGTGGTAATGGCAGGGATGAAATTAGATAAGACACTGGCATTTCCTGAGTGTGTCTCCCAAGACCCTGCTAATGGGCAGGGAAAGGGAAGGGGAGCTTCCTCAGGGCCAAGGGCAAAAGGATGCCCTTGAGAAAATGGCACCAAACTGTCCTGGAGAGACAACCCTGAGCCCTCGGTTAAGACTCCACATTCTTGCAAAGACTCATAGACACTGGAGCTCACCTTCTGGGAGGGATCCCAGATTCTCTGCTCACTCACTGGGGACCCTGGGAAAGTCACTTCGTCATTCTGTGATAGGCTTTCCTCATCTGCACAGTGGGGCTCGCAGCAGCACCTCACGGGGTTGCTGTGAGGGGGAGGGGAGACAATCTGCTTTGAGCTGGCACAATAGGGCCTGCATGAGAGGATCATTGAGCACAGCAGCCATTAA